AGGAAAGATTACTCCGGTGAAGTTGTATTATCGCGCAACGAACCCGTGATGCAGTGCTTAGAGCAGTGGACTTCTAACTAACAAGGTCTCGGGTTGGAAGCTCGGGGAGCCACCACCCTATGAGATTGAGTATGGGTAACTGATAATGGCTAATAAGCCAGAACTGGCCAATCCAGTCTCGCTCGCCTTTTTTGGTAATGCATTTCTGCCTACAAAATATACGTGTGTGTGGTTGTGAGGACAATACAACTATATTTTCCGAGATCACCTTTTTTCAGATATATGCATATATACAGAATGGTAAATAGGAAATATGAATAAAAAGCCTGCTTTCCGGGGTGGTCGGAACGGCTGTATTCATTAGCTGGTATCCTGACCCGACAGAAATATATCGGGACTATGCTCCATTGAAGTCAGTATTACAACACCATCAAAGTAACCATTTGTAATCAAAAATGCATTTCAGAATTTTGGTCAATAGATCTTGATAGTATAGGTTATCTGCATACTGTATGGGCAAATAACGCCCAAGCAAAATACCGCAAAAACGGAGCTAACAGCTAGAAGACATGAGAATGGCCGCCGATAGAGACCAGTTCACGATACTCCCAACAAAGAACTCGAATGTCAACTAAAGGGCCATAGGGATGGACGGACCCAGGGGAGTGCGGAACTTACCAAACTGGTAACGGTGTAGAATTGGCAGGTGAGAGAGAAGAGGCTGTCAGCATCCAGGTGATCGTCGTATACGTAGGCCTGACAGATGCTGTCGAAGTGCTGTGGGGGGGGAACAATTGAGGATATATCAGAATAGTAGCCACTGGTGGTCACAACATGACAACCCATACTATTTTAGCGTTTGTGTAAAAAAACAGAAATGACCAGAAATACCTGGACAGCCAGCCGTGATTCAAGCAACTGAGACCGGTTTCTCGTTAATAGACTATAATCTTCGTGTAGCAAATGAATCGACAGTTCAGTGCGCCGTAAGTGTGATTAAATTCATGGCGCGAGGCGGGGCGTTTGTAGCTAAGCGGTTAGAGCTTCGGCCGCCGGTAAAGGCCTTCTTTGATACGCGGGTTCAAATCCCGCCGAGCACCTCGAGTTTTTTCACAATTTGGTCAACTCAAATTCAGCAAATCTGTCAAACCTCCTAATAGTTCAGTATTACTGCCCTTGTCATTTCCCAGCTGGAGATGTCGGGGAGTTCAAACTAAAAACTTGCCTCAAAACCCTTGTTTGAGATATGGAAGTGATTCTACACCCCTTCGTATTCGGTCCCC